AGGCTTCATGTCCAAATTAAAAGAATTGGCATTCAATTAAACAAAAAACAGAGTGTCACATGCCACAGGATGCTATGGTCCCCCACAGTTGGACGATTGGCTGTTTGATTCTTCTGGTTTGGCTTGAAGACTGGGTAGCGGAACAGGCCAGGGAGGTCCTTCTGCTAAACAGCATCAACTCTCGCAAAGGCTGAAATTTCAGAACCCATAGAAGAACTGTCTTATTTTGTGTTGCTCTAACAAAATACCTTAGGCCAGGCACTTTTATGAAATAAAGAGGTTTACCTAGCTCACCATTTTAGAGGCTCAGCAGGCGGGATGAGATGATCTTGGACTTTGAGCCTCTGAAAGTGTGAGCTACATTACAACATGGTGGGTGGCCTCACCTGGTGGGAATTCCGACAAGAGTGGTGAGCAGCATGCGTGGAAATGGAGCAATACGTGAGGGAGGTCACATGGCAAAAAAAAGGAAGTGAAAGAGCAGGCAGAGGAAGCCAAATTCACTGTAGCCAGTCCCAAGAGAGCAAGAAGGTGCTCCAGTAGACCTCACTCACTCCTGGGAAAAAAAAGCATTCATCTTCTTAAAGGCACTACCTCTCAACATCAGCACCCTGGGGACCAAGCCTGAACATGAGTTTGGTGGGCACAGACCACATTGGAACCAATAGCAGGGCAAAATGCCATACTCCATTTTTTCCCATGCTTACCTTTCTGCTCCGGGGAGGCATTATAAATTTATGTCAAAGGATGCTTATCCGTTGCCAGGCAGGGACGTGTACCCCGATGTGGTTGTCTCTCACTGCAGGTAATATGCGTGTTTAGCCATGAGCGACAGAATCGGAGGGCTGGAGTGTTACTTCAATGGAGTTATTTGCATTGGTAGCACCAGAAAAGGTTGAATTTAAACTTTGATTTAGTTCCCTCATCATGATTTAAAATGACTCTTGAAAGATTACATGTGATGCAGAATTGAAACTAAAAATAATATTGTATGCAAAAGACTCTCTGAGGGTAAGCCTTCTGGTTTTGAACTGTGGTCTGAAGGGGGCAATTTCCCTTTTCTCTGAGAAATCACCCAAATGTAAGAAAGAGACTAAGAAACAGGAACAAAATTCTATCTTCAAAGAACTGAAGAGACATTTGTAACCCCAAACCAAAACAGATGAGGAAGGGCTTGGACACCGTGAAGGTCAGGTCAGCCCGTGGGAAGGTAACGGGAGAGGATGTGCACAGTTGGAAATGTCATCAAAGCCAGGAAAGCCTAGTTCCTCAAAGTAAATGCCACACCCGGAGAGAAAAAGCAAGAATCCCTTCTTGGAACAATGGAACATGTACAGGTTTGTGGATGGAGTTTCCCTTGACTGGTCAAATCCAAAGTCTTGACAAATAAAAAAGGCAAAATGTAATCCCAGTCGCTCAGGAGGGCTGAGGCAGGAGGATCGCAAGTTCGAGGCCAGCCTCAGCAACTTAGCGAGGATGTAAGCAACATAGTGAGACCCTGTCTCAAAATAAAAAATAAAAAGGGTTGGGATGCGGCTCAGTGGTAAAGCACCTCTGGGTTCAATGCCCAGTACAAAAAAAAAAAAAAAAAGCAGGACTGAATGAGAAAAGACCCAGAGGAGCTACGTTTGTGTTCTGCTGGTGAAGCAAGAGAGCATGGAGTACTCCGGCCATGCTTATCACAGCTGCTTGGGGAAAAATAAAGGATAAAAGAACTCACACATACAATACTATCTTTAGTCTGGAAAGTGGCACTAATCCCTCTTCAGAGTAAAATTTTAGGAAGAATTCACCTCTTTTCAAAAGGCTTGTCTCTTAAAAGTGACAAGATCTAAACGAAGACTCTACAATAAAGGAAACCGTAATTGCTCTGCTGCCGGGGAAGCCCGTAGAGCAACTAGTGCTGACAAGGGAGCCTGTGCCTTCTGTGGGCCCCTTCCTGCCTGCAGAACCCTCTGCTATGAGGATGAGACTGCCTTGCTCAATTTTAATGTCCTCGGGTTCTGAGGAGACCACAAAGCCTCATTCCCCATCTCCTACTTCTGAGATGAGACCAATGTCCAAGGAATGGCCTGACTCTGTTCATTGCAAACATCACCTGGGAAAGGCAGCGGGTAAGCAGCCAGTCTTCTCTCAAGCTCCTCAAAGAGTCCTCTGCAAGGGTGGTGCACACCTGTAATCCCAGTAACTTGGGAGGCTGAGGCACAAGTTCAAGGTCAGCCTCAGCAACTTAGTAAAAAGGGCCTGGGGGTGTGACTCAGAGGCAAAGTTCAATTCTCAGTACCACCCCCCCCAAAAAAAAAAAAGATTCCTATGCAAAGAAATAGTCTTTTAGGACTTCGACTCAATCCAGCAAAAATGTGGGTTCTGTCACAGAGACTGTCATCTTCATATCGGCAAACAAATCTGTCCATCTATATTAAACTATAGAGGCTAAATATTAAAACCAGTTCTCAAATTTATAATGCATCAGAATCACCTAGGGGAAAACACAGCTGAATGGCCAGTTTCTAATTGCGTAAGTCTGGGTGGGGCCCGGGAATATGCATTTTTAACAAGCTCCCCAGCAACACTGACACTGCTGGCCCCCAGGGACCCACAGTTTGAGAACAACAAGTGAAACAGTTACTGGCCATCAGGAACAATCTAGAATGTCCCTTCCATATCAGGGATTGTGGTTATCACACATGACAAGTGGTTTCAAGACCTGCATGCCTGCTAAAGAGCATCCTCCTAGAATTACTCTTCTAACCCAGAGTAGTTACACGTAGATGTCCCTAAGAATATCTGTGAGTTTGCATTAATGAGACAAAGTATGCATGCTTCGTGGCAGATCTAAGAGGTTTTCAGAGCAGTTTTGCTTCTACTTGATTACTGCCTTCTGTGCTAATCACAAAACATTTTCCACTTACCAATTCTGATGTCACTGTCTAATAAGAATTAGGCTGCAGTAAGCATGAGAAGACCTATTCTCTACACCCATGTGCACGTGTGTGCATGCACACACATACTCACGCTGAGGGGAGGGAGAGGGGAGAATGAATTCCTCCATGTGAAGGCACACGGCCTTACCCTAAAAAACTAGGTAAATGATGTGTATTCTCACAGCACAATATTCCAGGCAGAGGAACTCCACATGCAGAGGAGAAGAATTAGAAAAGTCAGGGCTTGGGGCTGGGGATAGAGCTCAGCTGGTAGAGTGCTTGCCTCGCATGCACAAGGCCCTGGGTTCAATAAATAAATAAAATAAAGGTATTGTGTCTACCTACAACTAAGAAAGATATTTAAAAAAAAAAAAAGAAAAGTCTGGGTTTGGCCATGGATTGGTGAGGAATGTCTTAGGCCACAACTTCTTTTCTCTGGTAAGTGGTTATTAATTCACAATCCTGATAGTCAGAAACTATTCACATTTTACTTTTTCCCTCCAGGAATCAATCTAGTTTGCATAGCTTCACTGACATAGGACTGAAGTTAACCAAAGAGCATCCCAGGGCTGCTGGTTATGGGGTCCTCTTAGAGCAGAATTCTCCAGTAGAACTTTCTGCGATGGTGGGATGTTCTAAGTCGACATTGTTCAATATAATGGTCGCTGGCCATACATGCCTATCTAGCACTTGCAGTATGGCTAGTGAAATTGAGAAAGTGCATTTTAAATTTTAATTCAATTTAAATTTTTTAATTAATTCTAATTAAAATTTAATTTTAATTCAATTCTTACTTTGAACTTGAACTTTTAAATGTAAGTGGGCACGCGTGGCCACACACAATGGCAGCTCTGGAGACGCCCCTGGAGCTCATAACTGCGGGTCCTCCACTCTCTGTGGTAGCTCCCCGAAGGTTCTTCCCTTCTGCTGATCACTATGGGCGGAGTTCTGAATTAGAGGTGGTGGGAGTTGTGATGAAGGCCGTAGGGTCCTCACCCTTCCAGAGCTCACATCCTAGAGAGACGGGACTAAACAGACACCTGAAATGCCACCACAGGCGAGCTCAGTGACCAAGGGCGCTAGGATTGTGTCAGCATCTCAGAGGGCCACGGCCCTGTCTGTGGCTCAGAGATGGCTTCTCCGGAGGACAGAGGCATCAGGCTGAGCTGGCATTCCTAATGGAGGCTGGGGAAGGGCCACGTGGGGGAGGTGGTGCCCTGCCGTTGCCATGGTAACGCTGAGTCCCTGGAACTCACAGCCTGCCCCTGTGCTGCTACTTCATTAAGCCACAAAACCATGGCTGGGAATTGCCATCCAATTAATTTATTTTTATACCTTATTTCATCCTAAGAGGAGTTGAGGAGGAGTGTCAGAATGAACACAATAGTGCAATGAGCCTGGGGGGCTCCCAGGTGGAGTGCCCCCCTGTTGAGCCCACAGAGGCATTTATGCAGATAGAGGATGAAGGAGTCCCTGCCTCCCGTAACATTGGGGACCTAGAGCACTTGAAATCACCACAACAGGTTCCTGGGCAGGTCTTTCCTGGGTACTGCCTGCTCAACAATTGTCTAAAAATAGAGACCATGTGAAGAAGACAGCACCCTGGAGCCCTCCCACAGGAGGCAGAGCACCAAGCCCTGTGACCTGGAGCGCATCCCAGGCTGAATTTTGACTCTGCTCCCTGCCACCACCACCCCTCAAAAAATGTGCTGAAATCCTATCGTCAGACTGTGATCTTCCTTGGAAACAGGGTCTTGGCAGATGTGATCAAGTTAAAATGAGCTCATTAAGGTGGTCCCTAATCTTACGTGGCCTGTGTTCTTTTAAAAGGGGGAGGACTGGGATGTAGCTCAGTGGTACCGCACTTGCCCAGCATGCACGAGGCCCTGGATTCCATCCCCAACACACAAAATTAATAATAATAATAACAACAATAATAATAATAATAAGGCGATTTGGACACAGAGTTAGACACACACAGAAGGAAGAGGGACGTAAAGATGGAGGATTGTAAAGGAACACTCCAGTCTGCCAATAAACCATAAGAACCTAGGAAAAACAAGGAACAGTCCTTACCCTGGGTTCCAGAGACAGCATGGCCTTGGCCAGACTTTGATTTGTGACTTTCAGCCTTCAGTACTGTAGGACAAAAGAGTTCAGTTGTTCTAAGCCACCTTGTTTGCAGTACTTGGTTACAGCAGCCCTAGGAGACCAGTGTTAAATGGAAAATTCCTTAGACCAACTAAATTGAATACTTTAATTCAGCAATTATACAAAAAAAGAACCAAGTGAAGTAAAATAATTCTTGAATCCGCTAGGAGAGGTTCTGAGAACTCCCCCAACAGTGAGATCAGGCGGCATTGATGAAAAACAGAACTGAGAGAGATAAGTTGATTGGTTACAGCTTGACTGGTAATTGAGCAGAGATGCACGTGGCTAAAAGGCCAGGGGGCCAGCAGGAGGGGCAGGGGGCAGCAGAAGGGAGAAGAGCAAGACAGTGGGAGGCCCGGGGGCTAGAGCTCCAAGGACTTGGTGACAACTGGCACTCAGAACTGGACAAATGAACAGGAAGTGACTCTCAGTGAGCAATGAGGTAGCGATGTCATCCAAAAGAGGAGGAGCAGGTTTGAGGAGAGGAAGATGGATTTGGTTTTATCTCACAGAGCAGAGAAGCCTGTAGAAAAGTCCATGTCGGAGCTCAAAGATGGACGTGGCCCTCAAAGGCCACCTGGTTCAACCAGCTCGGGCACCTCCTCTAAAATCCTGACTGCATCACGCTACCAGAACCTGAGCTTCACCAGTGACAATGATCTGCTGTTCCCTGGCAGCCTGTCCCAGTTCAAGGAGCTTAACTGTTAAAACACTTTTCCTAGGACCATGAAATTCCACTACTAGGAATTCAAAATTAAGATAGAAGTCAAAACATGGGCAAGGTTTGTACACAAAGATGTGTACATGTGAAATTATTTATTGCTAGTGATGACTCTAGCCATTTAAATGCACCAGATATAAAATTTGGTAAATACAGCTATTGAAATTACATTTTTTCCTTGGCGGTGGTGCACACCTGTAATTCCAGCAACTCAGGAGGACGAGGCAGGAGGATCACAAGTTCGAGCCCAGTGTTAGCAACTTAACAAGACCATAACCAACTGTGAGACCCTGTCTCAAAATTAAAAAAAAAAAAAGTTGGGGATATAACTCAGTGATAAAATTCCCCTAGGTTAAATTCCTCATATAAAAAAAAATCACTGTTTTTCCAAGTTATTTTTCAACTTCACCTAGTAGAACCACATGCACACAGACAACAGACTTATACACATAAATGAATGCAAATCCTGTGCAATCTGAATAATCTCTGTGGATTGTGCCAGTGTCGATTTTCTAGTTTTGCTAATGTGCTAGTTATGCAAGATGTTAGCGTTGGTGGGCATTCATGTAACTATCACCACAATCAAAACATCTCCATGAAGATCTCTCCTCCATTTCCTCACTTCCTTTTCCACCCTGGCAACCACCAATCTGTTCTTCACAGCTATAATTTAGTCACTCCAGGAAAGCTGTATAAACAGAATTGTATAGTGTGTAACTTTTCCAGATTGTTTTTTATTTTTCACTCTACGTAGTGCCTTTGAGGTCCATTCAAGTTGGTGTATATCAATAGTTCATTCCTTTTTATTGATGCATAGTATTCCGAGATAGGGATATACATCCCTGGCTTCACTTTCCACAGTTTCCATTACCTATGGTCAACCATGGTCCAGAATATTAAATGGAAAAATCCAAAAACAAACTATTCATAAGTTTTAAATTGCATGCCATTCTGAGTAGCATGATGAAATCTCACACCCTCTGTGTAATCTGTCCTGCCTGAGACATGAAACATCCCTCTATCTAGTGGATCCACTCTGTATGCACTATCCACCCATTGATTACTTGGTAGCTGTCTCTGCTGTCAGATATATAGGGTTTGGTACCATTATGCTTTCAGGCATCCCCTGGGAATCTCAAACGTATCCTCTGAGGGAAAGGGGGAATTACTATATCACAATTAGTTTAACTAGTTACTTGTTAAAGGACATCTGGGTTGATTCCAGTTTTAAGCTATTGTGAAAAAAGTTTCTATGCACAAGTTTCTGTGTAAACATAGCTTTTATTTCTGTAGAATAAATGCCCAGGAGTGCAATTGCTGGGTTGCATGGAAATTGCATGTTTAGTTCTCGAGGAAACTGCCAAACTGTTTTCCAGGGAGGCCATGCCATTCCTCATGCCACCAGCAATTATGATGGATTTGTTTTCTGTTAAGTGTTCACCAGCACTTGATGACGTCATCATTTTCATTTTAGCCTTTCTGACAGGTGGGTGGAGATCACCACGGTTTGATTTGCAATTCCATAATACTGATCATCTTTTCACATGGTTTTCCTCTTTCTGTGGCTGACATTTGTCTATTTATTGAAATTTGTCTATCTATTGAAATTTTGTCCACATTCTAATTGTTGGATTATTTGTTTTCACAGGTGAGCTTTGAGAGTTCTTTTTTAAAATTAATTAATTAATTAAATTATATATGACAGCAGAATGCATTTTGATTCATTGTACACAACTGCAGCACAACTTGACATTTCTCTGGTTGTATACAATGTAGCGTCACACCATATGTGTAGTCATACCTTTACCTAGGGTAATGACATCCAACTCATTCCACCATCTTTCCTGCCCACCATGCACCCTCCCTATTGAGAGTGATTTATATATTCTACATAAAAGAATTTGAGCTTTCTTAATAAAGTATGATGTTGGTGGTAGGTTTCATGTAGATGCTCTTTTTCAATGTTAGGAATTTCTCTTTTACTCCTGGATTGCAGCTTTTAGCAAGAATAGGTATTGGATTTTGCCTAATGCCCTTTCTCCATTAATGGACCTTAACATACAATTTTTCTATCTGAACCTGTTACATGGTGCATTGCATTTATTGACTTTGGAAGTCTGAATGAGACTTGCATATCTGGAATAAACCCCATTTGGTCACATTGTATAACTCCTTTTATTTATTGCTGGACTTGATTTGCTAACATTTTATAAGGATTCTTCTAAGTTCTTAGAGATGCTGTTTGTAGCTTTCTTTCTGTGATATCTTTGTCTTTGATATTAAGGTAAAACTGATTTTGTAAAATAAGTTTAAAATGTTCCCTCCTCAGCTGGGTGCAGTGGCATACCCCTTTAATCCTGCAAACTGGGAGGCTGGGACAGGAGTATCACAAGCTCAAGGCTAGCCCCAGCAACTTAGCAAGACTCTGACTCAAAATAAAAAAATAAATAAATAAACGGGGATGGAGATGTGGTTCAGTGGTCAGGTGCCCCTGGGTTCAACCCCCGGAAACCACCCACCCCCAAAAGGAAAATGTTATCTCCTCTTTTATTGAATGGAAGACATTACTTAAAATGGATTCTAATACTTTTAAATGTTTGATAGAATTCTCCTGTGAAACTACCTGCACTCAGAGTTTTTTTTTTGGAAGGCATTTAAAATCATGAATTCAAGGGGCTGGGGCTAGGGCTCAGCAATAGAGCACTTGCCTTACATGTGTGAGGCCTTGGGTTCGATTCTCAGCACCACATAAATAAAATAAAGGTATTGTGTTCACCTACACTAAAAAAACAAAAAAAAAATTAAAAAAGAAAATCATGAATTCAAGATCTTCAATGGTCGTTGGACTTTGCAGGTTATCTATTACATCTTGATAATCACATTTTTCAAGGAAATAGCTCATTCCTTCCAAGTCGTTGAGTTTGGAAGCACTAAGTCCCTCCTAGCATTCCCTTACTATGCTCTCAATGACTTCAGAATGCAGAGTGGCATCCCCTGTGTCCTCTCTGATAATCATGATCTGTATCTTCTATCTCTGTCCATCCTTTGCTGGGGAATTATCAACATGATTTGATTTTTTTAAATCAACTTTTTTTTCACTGATGTTCAGTTTTCGATTTCATCGATTTCCTGGCTGCTGTTCTTATGTAATTCACACACCCTACGACTGTGATTCAGGCTTGTGAAGTGCCCAGTTCATTGGTTTTGAGTATATTTACACAGTGAGCACAAGCCACCACCATCTAATTCCAGAACATTTTTCCTCAGGAAAAAGGAAAGAACTCTCCCATTCGCAATGCCTCTCCACCCACCCTTCCTCCAGCCCCCTGCAACAACTAACCTACCTTTGACTCTGTGGACCTGCCTACTCTGGACATTGCATGTAAATAGAATTGCATGCTACATGCTGAATTCATTTCCCTTAGGATGATATCTTCATCATGGAAACACAGTCCAATACTGTAGCTTAAATCCATCCTCGATGACCTCTGCTGGCTGAATAATATCCCATCATAGGTGGCTCTAGTTCACAAGAATCTGGAGTGTCCTCTCAAGGGCCTCTCCTGTCAGTGGGGGTGGGCCCTCAAAGGGGACCGTGGGATCTTGCCCTCCCTCTGTCTTGTCCTGGCGAAGAGGTGAGTGGGTTTTCTTCCTCACACATTGCCACCGTGACAGGTCGCCTCACCTCAGGGCTGGCGACAAGCCAGGTGTTGTGAAGACAGCCTTGCAGGCAGCCACCCCCAGGCCACGTGTTCAGTTTCTGGGAATGAGGCTTGGAAGGAGCTGTATCCCTCCTCCCTCTGGTGAACCCTCCAGAGGCTGCCAGGCTGGTGGTTTTCACATTGATTATGGGCAGTTAGTTTCCAAGACTACCACAGTGTTGAGGTGGGCGAGATGAAAACAAGGAAGTCAAAAATGCCAGAAAAAGCCAGGCTCAGTGGCACTCACCTGGAATCCCAGAGGTTCTGGAGGCTGAGGCAGGATGATCACAAGTTCAAAGCCAGCCTCAGCAACTTAGCAAGGTCCTAAGCAACTCAGTGAGACCCTGTCTCTAATACAGAAAAAAAATAAAAAATAAAAAAGGGCTGGGGATGCGGCTCAGTGGTTAAGTGCCTCTGGGTTCAGTCCCCAGTACCAAAAAAAAAAAAAAAAAAAAAAAAGCCAGGAAAGAAAATAATAATTTAGCCCTTTTTATTGAATAAATGCTCCTGAATCACCAAAAGCCTTTGGGTAATGTCCAGAATTCTGAAAGATGATGATTCTGACACGTCTGCCCCTTTCTCGTGGCTTTTATGGAGGAGAAGGGTTTTGCAGATCCCCACTCTGCCATCTCCTCTGACTTTGCTTCGATGATTTCTGATCTGGCCCTTTCTTGTCTTGGCACTGCTCCAGCTGCACTACAAGGAAACCGATCTGCTGGATTTTGTTTTCATTCAGT